CCCCTCCCTGCCTTATGGCAACAAACCGCCAGGCGCCAGAGCAGGAGCCTGGCCTGCGGAGATCAATAATATTCCACAGACTGTCTACGGGTGTGTGTGTGTGTGTCAATATACAGGTGCAGTACAGCCGCATAAAGATCCATCGAGGGAGAAAGCTTTTTTTTTTTGGCATCCCAGTCGTACGGCCCACTGGGGACTTCTGGACTGACGCAGTCGCGGCCCGGTCCTGCAACAAAAAGCCCAGCGAGCAGACCGGCTCCAAGACCGCCGCCCCCCTCCGGTCCTCTCCCGACGAGAGCGCGCGGACTCGAGCCGCGGCCGTCCCCCGGGCGCTCCAGACGACGGCCGGGCGGCTTCGTCTTTTTTCTCGATTTTTCGTTTATTTTCTCAGCTCCGTTTTTCTAAGCTCGTGCGACGGAAACCCGATTAAGACCCCATAAATATTGCTACCTTTACAAAATGCCAGACACATATACTGCATGGCGAGACACACGCACGCATGGACGGGTACACGCAAGTACACACAGACAGCGGAGATATATACAGGCGTGCGGCCGCGCCCTCCGGCCCGTTACAACTCCTCCGTCATCTGCAGCAGGGAGTTGACGGCGGCTTCGCGGCTGCCCCCCTGCGCCTCCAGCACCGAGCGGATCACCTCCCGGTCCAGGTTGGGGAACATGTCCTGGAGAGCCTTCAGGTCCTCCTCCGTGCACTGGGGCTGAGGCGGGGGGGCGGGGGCGGCGGGCAGGCCCACCGGCACCATGCCGGGGCTGTAGACCGCCGGCACTCCTGCGCGGGACCAACAGGACAAGAGGGGTCAGGGGTCAGGGGTCAGGGGTCAGGGGTCAGGGGGCGGCCTTTTTTTGTTGTTGTATTTGGCAGTTTCCGCCGCCAGCAGGACCATCCTGGGCACGCCGAGCGGGACGCCGCGTTAATGAACCCCAAACTCCCCGGGGACGCCCCGCGACTGTGCTGTGCGAACGGCTTTTTTAGTGTGTGTGTGTGCGCGCGCAGGCGCGCTCGCAGGTGAACAAACACCCTTCACCTCCCCGCAACGTACCTGAGATCGGGACATATCCGACTCCCTGCTGATACACAGTGGGCATCAGGACCACAGGCTGGGGCTGCATCACCATGCTGGCTGGGACAGACTGCAGGACAGAGGGAGACGAGAGAGAG